GGAGAGAGCCTCTACTTAACGGTGTGTCTTATCACTTTTTTTCAGGCTTAGAAGCAATTACAGAAGAATTTTATTTAACCTAAGTAAACTTGGACAAGGATCTGAATCACTGGCTTTCTCAGCTATAATGAAATACTCACTTGCCATCCATCACTAGAAACAACGACTCCTAGTTTTGCTTAGGCTATTATCAGCATGCAAGAGATAAAGAATATTAAATTTAATGCAAACAGCTGCCTTTAAATGCTACATAATTATATCCTGCCTAAAGCACAGAGTGCTTTCACCTTTCTCCATCAGAGTGGCTTTCTACTTTGACAGAGCCCCTGGACTTGGGAGGGATCCTTATGGATTGATCCTCCCACCCACCCCCCCACAAGGAAGATGCAAATTGGGGTTCAAATGAATAAAATAATTCTGTTCCCAACATTTGCCCATCCACAAAACTCAGAAAAATAACCGAAGCCAGATCTAGACAAAGCTTCGCTGGGCAAGTTCCCCATCCATTCGTCCATGCTGCTTAACTTAGATTACACACATCTCAGTTACTGTCCCATGCTTGTTGTCCCTACTTCCACAAGTGCTGTAGCCGGAAGAGAGAAAGTGGATTTTACTCAAAGAAACACTGCTATGTCAACAAAGACGAACTGTGGATCAGAAACCCTTTGCAAAATATATCTGACCCACTGTACCTGTTCTCAGCAAATTACCAGCACAGCCTGTTACAACATCAGATCTATAAATAGCACAAGGTACCAAGTGGGGGAACTGAATGGTGTGTGCTTTGGTCTCATGATAAAAAAGGCTTCCTGGAAAAGATCTACTGATAATTTCTCTCCATACTAAGCGATTACCATAGGTGGCACCATGAGTTCTTTATGTTGTATTTAAATTGATTAGAGCCAAAAAAGAATAAAAGTGTCATCACAGGAGACAAAGGAGCCCTGAACTTTTGGAAATCTGCTTATTTGCAATCATTTCACTATAACTCTTGTTTGTCCTAGAACTCTGCTCTCCATCTGCTTCCCTCCAACCATCTCCACTGTATTAATTCTGTGCAGCGCTCCAAGGCCCAGCTGAAATTCTGCCTCGTTCATGCACCTTTTTCTGTAGTCTTTAATGGGTGTGCTCTTTCTCCTTGGAACTGCTACAGTTTAATTTCCTCTTGGGACATTGTTCACATCCTGCCTCATAAAGTATTTGAGCACACAGCATTTTCACTAGACTCTAAGCTTCTTAGAGGCAGGATCTAAGCTTTACTGTTTTGTCCCACAAGTATCTAAGGCAGTATACAATAGACATATGTGGAATTGAAGGGAAAAATTAGTCTGCCTAGCTTGTTTGGGCCATCTCCAACCATACATTCTAGAACAGCAAGGCTGCTGAATGGCTGGCTCCTCCATAGGTATTAACTGTCTTAATACAATATAGGTATCACTCTATTCTAATGCAATATAGGTATCATTCTATTCTATTTCCTCTGCCTAGAAGCCTCTTCCTGAGACATACACCTGTTTCTTTCCCTCCTCTTCTGCTCATCTTTGCTCAAATGTCACCTACAACGTAAGCTCTGCCCTATTTCATTTAAAATTCCAACTCTCCCCTCCTTCCCCAGCAACTCCCTCTGCCTTTTTCTGATTTATTTTTCTGTATATCACTGATCGCCATCTACAAGCTAGGTACTTAATAAATAGCTATGGAATAAATTTTTAAAAATGGTGCCAGGGACACAGAATTATACTTACCCTCAGTCAGCTCAAAATATAGGAGAGAACTGGCAAATAAACAGATGACTGAAATATAAGGTCAACTACAGTAGTCCCTGTGCAAACGGCCGGAATGTATTATGGAAACATGGTGAAAGGTGAGAAATCCATATGGGAGAGTCAGATGTTGGGTGATGTTGAGTTGAGTCTTGAGAGGGAGGCAGGGATTTGACTAGTGCAGCTGAAGGCACAGAGAAGGCAATGACCACTCCAAGTTGAGACAGGAGTGGAAGAAAAGGCGTGGAGTGGAAAAGCCCATGCTAGAGCCATATGGACAGGGAGCAATAAGACATATGGTGGGAAAGGAAGGCAGCACCAGCCCCCATAGGCCCTCAAAAGCATGCTTATGAGGTCAGCTTCATTTCAGAGAACAAGGGAGAGCCATTTGAAATTCTGTAATAGGGAACTAATATGAACAAAAGTGAGTATCTAACAGTCTTCTTGAAACTTTTTATACCTTCATCCCACATAACTTCTTTGAGTGTTGACTTTATAAGTATTCTAACTACTATCTAAAGAAACAATCCCATTCATTGGTCCTAAGAAACTAGCTCCTCCTGTTTTGCAGTTAGTCTCTGCCCTCTAGGGGATTATAATCTAAGGCAGATTCACTAAGTCTAACTGACATATGAAGAACAAACTAACAAAAATAGAATAATCTACTAATAAGTTAAAATTTAATAGTGGGTACTTAGCAGCTTAAGTACCCACTATTGCATTTCATTGTAGAACACAGGTTGGAAAATTGGGAAATCCTCTACAAAGCCTTCTTGAACACCCAAGTCTTCATCTTCTTACAGCTCTTGGTTTTAAATAATGGTAATTGTAACAGCAGCTATGAACAATATCCTTACTATCAATTAGGCCCTGAGCTAGGCATTGAAATATATTATCATACTTAATCCTCACAACAAGACATATAATAGATGCTGTTATTAACCTAGTTTTACACATGAGGAAACCGTGGCTTGGACAAGTTAAGTAATTTACCCACATCTAGTCAGTGGTAAAGTAAAATCTGAAACAAGGTCTGACTGCAGAGCACATAACCTTACCCACTACCATTAGCTGTGTTCAACACTTTTATAATCAGTTGCATACCCTTCTAATTTTCCCAACCCAGTAAGATCTGTGAGAGCAATGTACACGTTTTTTTCTTCCTATTTCCTTCAGTGACTTGCATGTAAACTCAAGAACCACTCGGTGAATGAATGGCAGCACTGTAAGGCACTGATACATGGGATGAAGGAGTTCAGACATGGAAGAATGTGACTTTACAGACACCCTTGTGAGGAGTGTGATAGTGAGCTTCCAAGACAGCCCCCAGTTCACATCCTGTAGTCCCTACCACAATGAATCAGTCCCGCCCTGTGTGACACGGCTAAGTCACTGTGTGGGTCCCGCACCTTTGGGGAAGTCAGCTGCCATGCGGTGGTCACACACAGGCAGCCCGCAGAGAGACCCACATGGAGAGCAGCCAAATAGCCAGCATTGACCTGCCAGCTGTGTGCCTGAGCCACTCTGGAAGGAGATCCTCTAACCCTGGAAAAGTCTTTAGTGACAGTAGCATCAGCCAACATCTGATATCAAACTCATGAAGGATCCTGAACCAAAACCACATAGGTGAGACACTCCTAAACTACTTATCCACAGAAATCACGAGAGGTAATAAATGATTACTATTGTTTTAAGCCATTATTTGGAGGGAGATTTGTCACACAGCAATAGACAACTAATACAAGAGGTACTGGGAGTGACTTCCACAAAGGAAGAAAAGCTTGAAATAGAGGCATCAAAGGAATTGTGGCAACATTATAGGGAAAGCAGTGAAAAAGCAGGAGCAAAGGCAGATAAAAAGAGCCATCCCCACACAGGACCTCAGGGCTAGAAAAAACCTTAATGGTCATTTAGGCTAATCAGTCACCTAATGCTAAAGTCCACTCTTAATAAAACGAAGGCAGGGTCTTGCAAAGACGCATCTAAGCTGGAACCTGGAAGAAGGCAGACTCCTATAGTTCTCCATGTAGTGATACAAATGAGGAATATTTAGTCGTAACAAAGACCACATTCCTGCATCTTAACTGAGGCCATTCCTGAAAGCCATTTAAATAAGAAGTTGGAGGAGCAGGAGGAGGGGAGAGAATAAAGAGAAAGAGGAGGAGAAGAAACAGAATCCGAAGCAGAAGGAGGGGAAGAGGAGAAGGAAAGGGAAGAGGAGGAGGAGAAGAGGGAAAAAAGAAGACAAGACAAACAGCCACGACGACGACAGAAGGAGAAAAACGCAGTGGAACAAAAGAAGAAACTGATGTGCTGAGATGCTACGTGGTAGACATTGTCCTGAGACCTTCAAACACATCTCAGTTTACCCTCACAATGACTCCATATTCTTAAATTATTCTAGTTCTACTTCTTCCCCCATTTCTAGGAGGCTCCTCCTCACCCCATTCTCCTGATCTAAGGCAGAGAAAGTTGACCAGCTACAGAGAAGAAGGATCAAGGCATCGTGCACCTAAACTCTCATCAGGAAAAAATCTGAGCATGAAGATCAGGCTCCAGCCAAGAAGGAATCCACTAACAGATTGGGGCAGTCCCTTTACCGAGGATATAAGGCCAAATTTCCTGAGCTGCTGATTAGTGTAATTCTATTTAAAGGAAGAATATATCTAAGATGGAAAATTTAAAAACCCACAACATTTTTTGCCCCGAGATATAATGTTTTACTGGTCCAAGAGCTGGTTCTTTTAGAGGCTAGTAGTGGATCTAGGAGCCCCTTTGGAGGAGGGGTTCCCCCACAAAGCTAATGCCTTATTCAAGATATAGATATAGGCATTTGCCTTTAACCAAAAGGAAGCAGGAAGAAACCTGTTCTGTAAACAGCCACCTTCAAAAGATGCTGCCATGTGTACCATGGTATAAGGAGTGGGGAGAAAAATGCTCAGGTCAACAGATAGGCCAGCCTGATTTGCAAAAGGATGTTTGCTGCCCAAGCCCCAGGGTCAAAGAAAGTAATTACTATCATTCAGTTATAGCAAGTTCCCAGGGATATGGCCTAGTGTAGAGAAATGTGTCCTATGCCTCTTTGCATTTCCCCCCAGCCCAAGCACAAGGCCTTCCACACAGTAGGTATTTGGCTAATGTGGGTGCTGACAATAATATGACACAAGGCCCACACCCTCAAGGAGTTTGCAATCAAAGGTGCCAAGGTCCCGGGTGTTTCCCCTGCTCTAGGTTTACCGTCATTGAAGCTGTCGCTGGTGGTCATGTGTGTGAACGGTGACTGGACCCGAGGCTCCTCGCACAGGGAGTAGCTGTGCTCAGCCTGGATGAGAGGTGCTGGGGAGGTCGGTGATGGCTCCACCTCCATCGACACACTCTTCTCGGAGAGGAAAGGGTCATTCAGGAGCTGACCCAAGACATTCTGCGAAAACTCATCCAGAAGTTCTGAGAAGTGCTACAAGAAACAAAGGAGGAAGAACTCAATTTCTCTTAACCACGATCTGATATTTACACCTACACTCTAAGGCAAATACATCACCCCTGCTTTACACAGAATCACTTGCATTCAGTGTCCAGTAATCTACTGCTGTGTAGCGAACCACCCCAATGTCCAGTGGCTTAACATAACCACAATTTCTAATTTTCACTACTCCGTGGGTTGGCTGGGTGGGCAGGCTGATTTCATCTGACACAGTTGCATTGAGCTGGGAGGTTGGCTGGGGGCTGGGCTGGGCTGGGACAGCCGGACACCCAGGTCTTTTCCTCGAGGAGGCTAGATCAGGTTAGGCTTCCTCACATGATGGCAGAAATGTCTCACAAGGGAGAAAACCAAAGCTGAATGGCCTCAGAAGTCACACATCACTCCCTCCACATTCTTCTGGTCAAGGCAAGGAACAAGACCGGCCCAGAATCACAGGGTGGGAAAATAAAAGGCACCTCTTGACAAGAAGAATGGCAGAATCCCATTGCAGATGAGTGTGGACAGTGGATGGCATGACTCATGGGGGTCATTACTGTCACGACCTACCATGTTTTGCACTGGTAATATTTTTAAATAAGCTCTCCTGTGTTTCTATAATATAAGGGTGCAATTTATAGTAAGGTGCCAGATTCAAAGGCATTAGAGGTAGCTTCTCTCTATTCTCCTCACTGCCTAGGACTTTCTTTCCAGTTTTTCCTTAATCTCCTTAATCTCTTCCCATCTTCCATCTCCAACACCATGAACTTCCTGGTCCCCACCGCACGATGGAGGTGTTAAAGGAATTGTCTATATATATGTACTCCCTTGGATTCTTATGTCCCTCGTTCCACTACCCACCTCTGAGGAAGCGGAAGCCCCTCCACTCCCCCTCTTTGATAGGGGTATATTCATGGTATGAGGATCTGTGGAGCAGGATATCTCAACCTCAGCACTACTGACATTTTGGACTAGATAATTCTTTGCGAAGGGGGTAGAGGGATTGTCCTGTGCATTGTAGAATATTCAACAGCATCCTTGCCTTACCTACTAGATGCCAGTAGCAGCCCCCACTGTGAAATCAAAAATGTTTCCAGACCCTGCCAAATGTCCCCAGGAGAAAAAATGTCCCTTGGTTTAGAATCACTGCTATGGAATATATTAGAAATAATAAAATGAAATAAAAGTAAAAGTCCACTTTGACACCAGCTGCTAGAGCCACTTGTCTCCTTAACATTCCCTGTATCACAGACCAAAAGGTGTCATGCTTACCAGTTAAACTTTAGAGACACTTCTGGTATACAGAGGAAGTTATAAAAGCTGACACAGCAATAAGAGAACTGCTTACACATGGTGAGACTTAGGGTAGGCCCTGAAAATCCTTGGGCTTCACATGGACAACTAAGTCTCACCACTAAACTGAAGCATTAGTGAAGATGTTATGAAAATAAATGCAGGAAGAGAAGGTGAGAGATGCCCCTAGAGCTAGAGCTTTACGATTAGGGTAGTCGTAAGACAGAACATCTCCTTCAATGAAGGAGAGAAGCAGACAGACAGACAGGAGGCCCCTGCAGCCCAGGTCCCTAAAGAGTTAGAAGGGTGGGTTTCACTGGCATCACAGACACGGGAAATGGCTGTGTCTCATCGGGACAGAATGCAGGGTAGCTGCAGGCCTTGGCTGCGACCTAATAGGCCTGGTTGTCAATGGGAACAAGAGAAGGTGGCTGGAAGAGTTCTCTGAGCACAAACACATTTAGAACTGGAAGGTCCTTAGGAGAATCTAAGGCAATAATCCCACATGCCAACTGCCTGCATCACAATTACCGGAGGAGTTCTGTGTTAGTCATTTTATAAGGAAATATTTTAAGGATTCAGAAAAATTATATATATTGTGAACAATTATGTATTCATTCCTTTTAAAAAATCTTCTTTTTACATGTTTGCGTATGCAATCTTTTTTTCCTTTTGCTTCTTTCTTCCTCCTTTTCTTAAGAAATAAAACATGAAGGGACTGTTAAAGCTCCCATCTATTCTCCCTCGTCCCTCTCAAAGGTAACCACTAGCAAGAACTTGTGTTTATCAGTCCAATCCAGGACATTATGCTTTTACTACATATGCATGTTTCCATTACATATGATTCTTTTAAACTTTAAATAAATAGCAGCCTACCACATACATCCTTCTGCAACTTCCTTCTACCAAAAACATTTTTTTTAGATTTATTCATGTTTATACATGTAGCTCTATTTCATTCATTTAAGCTTCTGAATTGTATTCCATTGTATTCATCCATTTCCTCTTGAGGAATATTTAAAGGTTTTGTATGATGTGTGATATTGTAATAAATATTCTCAAACATAAAGGGTACTTTTGAAAACATACAGATTCTATGACCCATCCTCAGAGAGTCTGACGGCAGGTCAAAGGCATCTATACAGAAACCACCATTGCCACCTGTGCTCACTTGGGTTTTTCAACCTCTGAAGGTTGACTCCATTTCTACCTACCACCCCATTCTCTGTACCACTTTATAATCAAGTCCCTAGAAGTTCAGAAAGTTCCTAGAAGTTCAGATATGCCCAGGGTGAGAGGAATATTCAGGATTCTGAGCTACCATGTGTTAAACTTTAGATAGGCACTGGGGATACAAAATAGTAAGACAGAAAAAGCCCATGCCTTTCCTGAGTTTACTAGTTAGGTAAACTCAGGAAGAAAATACTTCTATAAACTCAAACTTCTATGCAGTTATGAATTACCTGGGGATCTTAAGACATAAATTCTGATTCACAGGTCTGGGGGGGGCCCAACATTCTGCATTTCTAGCCAATTCCCAGGTAATGTTGCTAGTCCACGGCCCACACTCTGGGCAGCAGAACAGCAGCAAGGCTAAGATCAGAACCAGATTTCCTGATTATACAATAGCCTGATGTCAGCGTCTGATTCCCAAAGTAACTCCCCAAGGACAAGTTTACTGTTTGCCCGATGGTGAATATTCTGCCACTGTTTGACAGAGTTCTTTCCAAAGCCAAAATTAAGGTAACAAAAAAAGAAAGAACACAGAATGTAAAATGCAAACGCAGGAGTTGAACTCACAGAATCTCTGCACTTTCAAACCACAATTCTGTCCCCTGAACTACAATGTCAACTCTGGCCAGCTGTGCTGTCCCTGCTAAAGCTCTGGAATCCCATTCTATACTGAGGCAAGGCTCTCTTTGATTGCCAGTGCTTTTCCATGGAAGTTGCCCAGGTCAGGCTACTCTGCTGACACTCTGTTTTCTTTCTCCTGAGCAGCACTAATGAATGTTTTCATGAACATCCCCTGGATAACCAATAATAAACCTTCTCTAACTCTGCTAACCTTCCCTGAACTTCCCTTACTTTGGACTATGTAGTAATTATTCCTGTCGGAAAACAATTTAACCCTAATGACAGGCAGTCCTGAAGAATTCACAGTTATCATCAAGTGCATTATCACAACCTCCGCACTGGAAAAAGAACATCCTCAGAAGCCTCAATGTACCTAAACCACCCACCCATACCTAGGAACTTAGCAAAGTGGTGAGCACTGCATAGGTTCAGGGAGATACCTGTGATTGAAAAGATATGCTCAACCAGTCCCAACCAGATGCTATGACTCAGCCTAGCAAATTAGCTCCAGCTGGGTCTCCTTGGCAGCTGTGGGCTCCAGGGATCAGTAGACAGGTCAACATCCCCTTGCTGGTGCAGAATCAGCCCATCGTTAATGCCAGACAGTCAGGGAGGGCATTTATAGTCCTGGAGGCCAAAAGCCAGAGAAAGGAGCAAAGTGAGCCTCAAAGAGGAAGCCTTTCTGGACCCTGCAAACACTTTAGCAAAGTACTACCCATGTGAACCAAAGGGTTATGAAGTGTTATTTGGTTCTTTCAAAGACAATGGCATAATATCATTTTACCACTCAGCCTAATGTTTTAAATCAAGCTTTATGGATTCACAAAGTACTTCCATAGCCTTTTCCTCACTCGATGCTCACAACAATCCTGTGAGGTTGGATTTAACCCCAACGTCCAAGATCTCAGTCACCTATTGAGAGACCTTGAACTAGGGTCCTCTTATTTCAAATCGACTGAATTTGCCCACATTGTTTCTCCTAGGAAAGAGGTAATTAAGTCTCATGATCCAACTGCATGGAAAGGTTCTAACAAGTATAAAAAACATGATACTAATGATCGTTGATGACAATGTTGACAGGATTAGGTGCTAGGCCATCTAATGGACTAAGTGCTTGACATATTAAATTTTCAGAAAATGATCCAGGCGCTTTCCTACAAGGTAGGCACATCCCCATTTATAGATGAGAAAACTGGGGCTCAGGATAGTTAGGTACTTTGCACAGGGTTGTGCAGCTTCGAAAGGTGGAATTGAGATCCCATCCCAAATCCAGCCAGTTCCACATGCCAAGCACTTCTACCACAGCATGCCGCCTCATCAGAGCCAGCCTCGAAAGCTAGGCAGAGACAGACTCACAGACAGTCCACCCACTGTGAACACACAGTCCTCCACATTAGGAGTGTAGAAACATGCCAGGGGTGTGTTAATCAGAATGGTTCCAGGCCTCACTCTGCGGTACATCAGCAATAAGATGGAGATATCTATTCGCCCTTAATGCAGGTTTCTACCAAAGGCTTCAAAGTAACCTCATATAATCTCTGGGTTGGAAGAAACCTCTTGACAGGGTTAAACCCCTGCCTCATGAAATGAGTGTTCCTCACCCAATTTTATGAAGACACTTGGTGATTTCCTTTAAGAATTTGTGTCAAGGTCTTATCTTGCCATTAGCTAAAGACCTTGCGTTTCTATCTTCCAACCTGGCCCCAACATCCTATATAGTCTTCTTCCTTTATTCTTATACACGATACTTTCATTCCAATCCTAATGGTCTCAGTATGACATCGTGGCTATATAGCTTTGGAGCCAGACAGCCCTGAATTTGAATCTCAGATCCTAACTGTGCAAAGACA